CAAATTATATATTTGAGCCTTTATTCTAAAAACGAGCTAGTGATACTGCCCATCTGCAACCTGTACTACTGTGTGTGCAATAGCAGCAGCATTCTAGAGAATGAAATATTAGTTGGTGAGCTACTCTTGCACTGAAGAATACTTGAGACGTGTAGGAATAGAATGGAAATTTCTGCACGTTAACGAAATAAGAGAAGCCAGTTAACCATTATAAAACTCACTGATCTTCAGTCAATCCAACATATCCTCTTCAAAATACAATTTATTTCAGAGTCCATAAGGAAATAATCAAAAGAAATAATGTCAAAAACCATGCCATGGTAGCCACTAAGATTTGGTTGAAATGAGTATAAACAGTCTCACTGTTCTTCATGCCTAATTAAAGAGCAGTTAATTACAATTGTCTAGAAGAGATCATTTCACTCAAAAGAAATTTCCGGTGGGAAAGATGAAACCAAGTTTAAAAAGCATCTTATTTTCTGGGTGGGAATTTAATTCAGTGAAGGAATAGGATAAAATACAAAACAAGCAAGATGTGAATGTAGGCTGGGGTAACTGTAGGTCTTTCAGAACTCTACTATTCATGCCAGGGATTCATTTCAATATGCACTCCTGATGTTATTCTACCATAAATTTTGCAATGAACTCATGTCTGATTTCCACTGTATTTCTTACATATTTGAATAAATGAAGTGGGAAACAGAATAACAAATTCTAAGGTATTCCTCAGATGGCTTGTATCAGAGCAAAGTATTTAATGAAGTGTCATAACAGGCAACTGTAGCCCTCCTTTTCGAAGGAACATCAAGCACTGAGGATGTTGGCAATAATGTACATTTTTCATTTGAACACTATTTCCAGAGACTATTTTTTCACTGGAAATGATCAGTCTCACTTAGGATGCAAACAGCTGTTTTTCACTCAACAGCTTCACACAGAAGAAGGGATTGTAAAGGATACGCTTGGGATATTTTCTGCAATTGTATAGCTGTGAAGATCATGACCAAAAGTAAAAATAAAAAATAAAGATTTTCTCTTGGGTGCAGAAACAATAACACTACCATATTTAATCACAACATTTCGATTTTTCTCCTTTGGTGGTTCTACTCCATAGTCAAATTGTATTCTGAGACTCAGGAGTCCCTTATGAATGCACATTGTGACAATTTCAAATCATTTTTAGCAATTGAAGCTTAGAGATTCAAAAACTGTTTTTCTCAACCTTGCTCTTGCAAGGCCATTTGCTTTCAGATTTTAAATAAAAGCGCTGAATATGTGGTTTCCCATAAAAGACAGAGTATGCACTCTGCTTAAGAAAAGGAAGAGAGGCAAACACACAAATACATCTTCAAGGATTGACAATTGTCTTTTCAAGGGGGAAACTAACCACCTTGCCTGTTTGACAGTCTATTCAGGAAAGGAGATCCTAAAACCAAGGACCCTTTTGGAAAGGCAAACCCAATAGCCTCTCATTCCTATTTCTGCCAAAACACCAAGTAAGACTCTGAATCATCACTTCTCCTAAAATAAAATAAAATCAAAGTCAGACAGCCTGGTTTTATTCATAATACTTTTTTCATTAGAATACATATTTTCACTAGGCTTCCTGAAACTTTCCTCTAGGTATTATTGTATACTATAAACTATCTTACCTGAAAAGTGCCCTAGAGCTCTGACATTTAACACTACTCCTTGCCCCCTACAATCTGATGTTCCTTCAGTTCTGTTTGCAATTCGCACATATATTTTTCATTGTAGTTAAAGATAACCCTAAAAGCAAACACAGAAAGTTTCCTTCACTTCTGAAAAAGCATTAGGCTTTCTCAAAAAAGGCTTACTACATCTGAAGGTCTTTGAAGACACACACACAAAATCTGACATATATATATATAATAAATTATACCCTAAATATTTTTTGCAACTGCCACATCTTGTTTACTTTGTGAACTTAGAATGAGAAACCAGGATAAATGTGAACATTTGCTAACAAGGAATAACTTGCAAAGTGCACTTTCCTTTGTTCTTTTTGTTTTAATCTGACTTTATTTACCCTGATCCCATGAAATAACAGTGTTAATCAGTTGCCTATTATTTTGATTAATTGAATTAGATCACGTGAAATAACATTAAAATCTTATTCCAAGTATTCAGCTTAGAGCAGAAAAACTCGGGAGTACTAGAGGGGAAAAAAACCTGAACCTGAAAGAGCTATAGCCCAGTGTTACTCCCTCTCACAAACAGGTAGTTACTCTGGATATATATCATTAGGGACCAAAGCAAGTAATTTCTTAGGTTGTCATCAGTTCTCTGCTTCAAAAATTCACTAACCAATGTAATTAATTATCTAACTGTTCCTTCAGATAAGTGAAAGCAATACAGCATAAAGCATTTTTAAAGAATATGAAGCATGCACTGAAAAAATAATATATCAGCAACAGTGTTGACTTTGGAGACCGTTTTTTTTTAATGTAACATAGTTGTATTTGTAGTGTCTGTATATTTTGCTTTTACAGGTATTTTGTTTGTTCTGGGTCCTCTTTCTTTTTTAGAAGCGTCATTTAATAATTGAATCATAATCATCAATGATAAAATCAAGATAAGAACAAGTCCTTTGATAAGGTTGTGTCAATCTGTATGATCATATGTTAATGTGATATAAACTATCCTCTCCTATTATTCATTTGAACCCAATTTAAGACCTGAAGTCAAAGGAAAATTCCCCTCTGGTTACCGGCCAGGTCCATATTAAGACTGAATACTTTCCTGAAATTATATACCCATACCAGGTCCCTAAACTCTGAGATCTGCAAATTTTGGCATAACACAACCATTTAATTATAAAAGAAAGTTCCACTGTGCCTCAACAGTGACCACACTCTGTGGTGCTGCAGCACACAGTCTGTGAGGTGAGGTCAACAACAATTTCCTCGGTTATAAAAAATAAGGTGTACCACTTGCACCCCTGAAAACACAGCAAAATTGCAAAACTGATTCCCCAGTTGGATAAAGCTTTCACCCAATCAATCTAATTTTTACAGTAGTTCAAAAGCAATCTGCTCTAAAAGAAAAAGTAATGTTGCAATACTGTGTTAAGGATCTGATCTGGCTCTCAACCATGCTTAGGTCAACTCACTGTTTCATGGGTCTCATAACTAGGCAAGATTACTCAAATATGTTGTAGACTTGAAGAAAAGGCCAGCAATGAACAGAATATCCTCTGTGTGTGCACCTACCTTGCTTTATTCACTTCAGCTTGACCTTCACAGCTTCTTAAGGCAACCATTTTAACTGGCTTTCACTCATGATTTTTATTATTTTTTTTTACTTTTTGTCTCTTGTTTTTTTTTCTTTTAAGGACAGAAGGAAAGACTCTCACAAGCATACTTTCCATCTTATCAGAGCATGATATTGATCAGAATACGACCTGCTGCAGACAAATTCTCCAAGAGCCAGTCAGCCACACAGAACCAGCATATTCCATCAACATAACACCTTATGCTGAATTTAACAACATTAAGGAATAAGACTCAGCACGTCAGAAGCTCTTTACATAGCTGAGAAGAAAACTTTGCTCTATGCTACAGGAAAAGTAATTTAAATCCATCAGTTTTGCAACAGTCAAAAAAGTTTATGTCAAATAGGAAGCAGAATAAGTGAATATCATCTTCACCCTGCTCGGAATGTTACCAGTAAATGCACTGTAATTAGGTCTCAAAGCTAGAATTGAATTTTGTGTCTTTTTTGTTGACTGCTCAACAAAAGGTAAGATCTTTAATGAATAAGTTGTGAACAAATTTCTGCATTTCAAAGGTTTTTTTCGTTAACCCATAGTGCTTTTCACTATTTCAAAAATCAAAATAATTTTTTTCATTTTTTTTTGTTAGCCTATTTATAAGGCATACTTCCCCTAAGTCAGGAGTTCATTACATAAGTCATTTTCATTACATCAGGAAAAACCTCCTAAGACTTGTAAATAGCTGTTTCTAATAGCATCTGATAGCACCATGAGGCACAGACTAGGATCACAGCCAATGCAAAGATATGATCCATATGGTCCATTTATCATCAAGATAATCATTAAGACCTCCTTTTGCATTTTCACCACTCTTAATCATATGGGATCTACAAAAGAATAAACAATTAGAGAAACAAAATCAAACTTTGTATTCAAAGTTATGGCAACTATTCTCTTATGGGTTCTACACATTCCATGTGGAATAATACCAGATGTGCAGTACTCAAAACCAATACTTTGATATGACTGTAAAGAATCACCTTCCACAGGGTTTTGGAAACACACTATATGGTGTTGCCCTCCGCTTACCCAGTCTAACCTCTTTTCCAGCCACTCCAGTTGCACTATTTAACCTGGGACAGTGGGATTTATACAGGGGCCTTTATGAACCAACAACAAAAAAAAAAAAACCCTTCAAAAAAATAATGATCTTGGCTCAACCATATGCTTGTTAAAGTAACCCTGAGGGGAATAACAAAGCCAAATTTAGAGATAAGGAAGACTTTAAATATTTTGTTTAGCAAACAGAAGAGAGATAATATTAAGGGGGAGACTGGAACAGAAAAGTGGAAAAAAGATAACATGGAAACTTGTTTTTGCTCTCAGCCTCAGCCTTTCCCAACTCTTTCTGACTAACCATACCAGGGAGAGACTGCTTCCATTGCTGCTTGCTTTTCCTGTAAGAAGTTTAAGCATTGGAATTCCACCCAGCTGATAAATTACATAACAACGTTAAGAATACATATTTTATTATTTTTTAACTATAGTAATGTCTCTGCCGAATTTTGTAGTAAAAGACCTTGGAGAAAATGTTTGTGGTTCATTTCTTGTGCAAACATGGTGAAAAATGGACCAAAAAGACAGTGGAGCAGCATTATAAAAATAACAGAAATTATTAAATTTTTGAACTTCACACATATCAGCTGTCTAAAAAGGAAAACATATATGAGAAGTAAAAGTGCTGTAAAACAACCAAAGACACATATACAGACATTTGGGTTTTATTTTTATAAAAAAGGTCAGATTTATTAGTGCCAATGTATGTTCATAGTAAGGAAACAAAAACTAAGCTAATCTGAGTAGCAACTTACATCAAAGGATATCAAAATAATATTTCTTGTAAGTGAAACATAATACTTCATTTAAACTTGATTCTTGCCAACTAGAAGTCCTTGTTATCTGTCTATGAAGCCTTTAAAGAAAAGTTGCTACAGTCAAATAGGGTCCTGATAGAACTTGGCACATAAAGAAACAATTCTGTTTTCACCCATACAATACCTCTCACTCCCCTGGAGCAGTCATTCATACAATACTTACATAATGCATATACATTATGACTAAAGTCATGTATGGCCTAAAGCACATAGAATATCTCAGTTCTAAATGTAACATGTCTCTACATCAAAAGCAGGTCATTGTATTTACAGCAGATGATCTTGCTCTGAAGATGGGGCTTTTGCTTGAAGATCCTCTTGTTAATGTACTCTAAGATGACCGAGTTGTCCAATTATTTATCAAATTAGAGGTGTATCTACAGGAAGATCTGTCTGATTGTGTGCAAGGATTCTAAGGCAATAGTAGTAGTTGTTCCACAGGAATAGCGCTGCCATTGCAATCCACTTTCCCTTGAAGCAGTAAAGCCTTCCTTTTCCAGATGCAGCCAGGTATAGTGAGACATTCGTGATCTGCAAACTGTTGGCTCAAAAGTCTAAAACTTCTTGGTTTGTTTTTGTTTTTAATGTTCATGGAATAGCACCATAGGAATTCACTCTTGATATCAAACTAATCCTGGGTCTGTTGTTCTGTTTTGCTTTTTTACCATCACAGATATACTTACTCTCAGAAAAAAACCCCTGTCTTTGGGAAGCTTCCCTCTTGGATACTATTGCAGCTTCATTTCTCAGTAGCTAAACCAGGCAAATAGCTCATTCACAAAAAGGTTTGAAGAAATAAAGCTTAGCAGTTTTTTCAAATGTACTGCTGAAAACAAATTCCGTAAGAGGAGTTCAAGATGATCCTTTATTATTTCTCTTTTGCATGGATATTAATTTTGATTCAGGACAGGTTTTCAACTCTTTCAGTCTCTTTCTATATTCAGTGCAAAATAAGAGCACATCATCAGAGATAGCTTACTTAACTAGTAAGCCAAGCATTTTCAGATGCTTAACTCTTCAAATTCAGTCAACCAGTGATTGGTCACTAGTGATGACTGATGCAACAGTTAAGACTTCTCCGTTATTAGTAAAACAAAATACTCTATAGATCAGTTATGTTTCAGAAGTAGGATTTTCCAGTTTAAAACACTGATAACCTGATATGACAGATGAATTTGTAAAAAATACAGAACAATAAGGGAAGACCTTCCCATTTCATATCTTCTTTCAAGTTCTTGTACACACTCTATGCAGGATACAAAGTCAAAGCAACTAGATAGAAGGACAGTATTTTGAGTGTGTGACCTAAAAGAGCTTTTTTTCCTCCCAGACCCCACACAAGTGTCAGAAGGAAGAACGGTCTACAGGGTCATTTCCCTTGAATGCAACTGATTGAATCTGCACGCAGTTCTAGCAAATGTCAAATCATTAACAAAAGCTCTTCTATTCTCCCTGCACGCACAGTCCTTTCACAAGGTTTGCAGAGACAGTCAAGCACGGAGCCTGGACATCATCATCTTGACTATTCCACTGGGACAGGTGATTTTGTTCTTTTATTTTATTTCAGTCTCTGGTCTTGTAAGTCAGCATTTTAACTGAACTTATATTAAACATTTGTGCTAATAACTTCAATTAAAAAAAAGACACACCCTCCTTCCTTTTTACTGTGCGTTCTTACTTTCTCATTCTCCTTTTCTGGCATAGAGGTTCTTGTGTTATTTTTTGGTGTGCACACTATCTGGATATTTTATACTTCTGTATCGTATATGAAATCCTTTCTTGTTGATTGTATCATCAGTGTGAAAGTGAAGTAGAAGAGCTTCTCCAGCTGAATAAATTTCTTCTGGTGGCTAAAATAAATTAATAAAAAAATAATTTACCTGTCCACTCTGTGTATTTATCCCCTTCATTCACATGTTTTTCTTACAGATATTTCTCTTTTCCTGCTATGCATCAATGTGTCTCACATGATGCTGACATCATCAGACAGAATACTTCTATCTTATTCAGTTCTCAATTATAGGCTAGGAATTTATTTATCTAGGCAAAGGTTATATGTATGAAAGCGTGCCTGCACTGGCACACATATAAAGAATTGATGAGGATTTGTGGGATCATTGCAGCAGCTTTCACAGGGCCAGCAGCTGACAGACCAATTACCACCTGGTAATTTCCTCCATGTTTCCTCACAGTTAAAATATGTCAGAGATGCATATAGGATTTCAGGGTTTTCTTAAGGCCCGCATTAATCGCCAGTTTAAGAGCACTTTTTTTCCCTAAAATCAGACTTAAGTAGTAGATAAGCATACTATAAATACGTCCCAACTGCCCCTCCCACTGTTAAATGTGGCTTCTTCATTCAAATTGAAAGAATTTTGATGTGATACTTTCTAATCCTGATACATATCTCTCTATGTAAGGGAAAAAGCTGCTACATGTTTTTTGGGTGCTGATAAACACTCCACTGTTAGCTCCCTAAAGCTTGACATAACGTTACAATACTTAGCTCAAAAATAAGTAAGAATATTTATTGTTGAAAATATTTCAAGGGAGTGACTGTACTACAAGCCTGCAAATTTATATTAAAAAAACCCACAAAAAAACCAACAAAACCTGAAGCAGATAATCTAGAATCTTCATTATAAGGTGTAATAACTGTACCTCATCTCTTCTTGACCCTTTCCTTCCTCTTTCATTCTTATTCTTTTTGCCATACAAATAAAAGAAAATGTTTTATACATGATTACTTACCCCAGATCCACAGAATCGACCAAGTCTCACTGCTGTCTTATCATGACCATCAAAGAGCTCCACATAATCATAACCACAGTCTGCCTCTTCTTCAACCTCGAAAGTCTGAAACATTAACTCAACCCGATAGCCATGCTCTGCCACCAGAAGCCAATCGCAGTCTGCCTGAACCGGATAGTTGTTATCGCCAAACTGAGCATGTGAGTACAGATCTTTGGGCTTGGTTTCAGCTTTCAACCGACCACCACACTCTAAACAGATGGGGAAAAAAGGCAAAGAAGCTTATTCAGTGCAAATTAGAGTTTTCTTTTCATAGATGCCCAGTCTCATTCAGGCTGACTGCATTATAATGCCACAAGCAGGCTAATCAAACAAGCTGAGAGTGAAACACTACCCAGCAGAAATACAAATCCATCGTTCTGAGTTTTTTCTTACATAAATTGTTTCGTAACTAGAGAGACTTCAACATAGTTCATCATTATCAAGTGAAAGACAAAGACAGGGAACACCAAAGCTAAAAGGAATGTGGTTCAAGTGGTATGGCAGTCTTTGAGCAGGTACTTGAGAGGTGTCTGTGGCCAGCAAGACAGTTGCTGTAAGTAAGACATCCACATTTCAGTGATGACATTTCCACATGTATTAATGACACTTTTTGCAAGTGACAAGGGAGGATCAGCTCTAGCACACGTAGTCAGCTATTAAGTGCAAAAATCTCATGTTTCACAGGAATGTCAGCTTTAACCATACTGTGGTACCTGGAGAGTGAGCTCAATTCTAAGCACCACTGCCAAGCTTGCTACCTTGTTTGCTGTGTAGTTCATGGTCATGAACAGGCCTTTCCCTGCAAAAGAGTGTGGCTGGAAGAAAGCTGCTACTACCAGAGAAAGTCTTGTAGTTGAAAGCCTGCTCTTGAGGCAAGACTTTGGCAGGAGATCCTTGCCTTCTGCCAAAACCATTATTTCAGCATAAATCTCTATTTTTACACAGTTGCAAAATGGATATGGGGCTTTAGAGCTTGTTTATAACTGCTCAAAGACTTCATAATTTAAATATGAATTAGCTTTACTGTATAGTTGAATAAGCTGTTCAAATACAGTTGAATAAATTTAGTCAGTTTGCTGGAAAACAAAAATTGCTGAAAATGCACTGAGCAAAAAACTAAAAATAAATACAGTAGCTAGGACTTTACTCTTTCTAAATATCTTCAGAAGCTATAATTAAAACGATTCTATCCTAAACAGCTAGTGAATTCAGCTTCTACAGTAACTTAAATATATAGATGTAACGCATTTGCCAATTAAAAATACTACTAGAATGCAACCAAAAACAGATGGAAAATTGTACTTAAAGGAAAAAATGCATTGTTTATTATGTTTCCAAAAGGTGGGTGGAGGCTTTTTTACTTTAGAAAGATTTCAATGCAAACAGAGTAATTTAGCCTTGGTTTCTCATTGAGAACAAATCCTCTTACAGCACCCAAAAAGCATCAAGTGCAGATGAGTTTGAACAAAAATCTGAGATTCACAAATTTGGATTCCATTTTTATAAGTAAATGAACAGTTAATTTTTCCTGCATTTTGATCAAATGTAGATATTATTGAGTGATCATTTTATAATAATCTGAAAGTAACTGCAAGATTCAAACATTTCTAAGCTTTGTTGAAGAGACAACTAATTTGACTTCAGTGTCGTTGACTCTATGAACACTAAACATATAATGTTATATATGAGGAGTAACATTTTAGCTGGGAATTAATAATGGTAATTACCAAATCCTCATTTTTTTAAACATGTGGGGGTTTTATTAATAAGGAAATGAAGAAATCAAAACAGGAAATATAAACTACGTAAGTAATGCACTATGCATGATCCGTTGTTTAATCTGAAATTTCAAATTTTTTTGCTTTTAAAGAACAGATGGGAGTATGTGATAAAAATTTGTCAAATAAGATAGTTTAAACAGTTATTTTTCACTGATATTCTAATATACTGGGTTTTTCTCCTATTCCTGATTTCATGTACTTCCTTGTTTTTGGTGGGGGGGAGGTGTTTGGGGGTTTTTTTTGTTTGGTTTTGGGTGTGTGTTTTATTTATTGGACTGTTGCCAATATTAGGAATGTCTCTCTGCCTCAGACATCAAACAGCTGCTACAGAGAAAATGTTTAATGAACTGTCTGTATTTTTTCCCTCTTCTTGCTACAGTGGACAGTAGCTTAAAGAAAAATTGTAGCCATACTGACAACCACAGAAAATGGCGATTCCCTTTTCCCTGCCCTTCTCTCATGGATTATAGCCTCATATTTTAGAATAAAGTATTGATTTTAGAAACTACAAGTCAAATTTTCAATTTCATAATGACTAAGTTGCGGTTTCAAAAGTCTACATTCAGCCTTCACAATGCAGAACTGCATTAGGATGCGTGGGATAGGCACAGAACAGAGAGTGCCACGCAACACCGCTTGCTTAGCCTTGGTACCAGAACTAACCTAACTGCACTATACATCATGTTTTCCACACAAAGGTATGGCTGCTCTGCTGTAGGCATGATGTACACATCTGACTTTAAAGAAATATGTCCAAGTTTCAGGTGAAAGATTTTTTCTAGATCAGCTAAGGAGCAAAAATCCTCTCGTTTCTTGACCTTCCTAAGGACTTTTAGGCTTCTTACAGACATAAGAACAAATCAAGCACTAGTGTGCTGACTGTTTAACAAGCCAGACAGATGTGAAAAGCTTAAACCCACACCGTTTGAATTAGTGAAATAATATTATAAATGTGATTCAACACTGCCATACTGAATTATTACAGTTATTTTGGAAGCAACACAGACTCTTTAAACTGAGTGACATCTGAGATGACCAAATTTGTCTGAGATATCTTTCCAGCATTGACAGATAGAAATAGGACCTACAGCAGATCTACAACCTCCTCCAGCAGTGGTTGGAGGCCAGGTATCATAAATGATGCTGTCCAGAAGAGAACTAGATGCTTGTGTTAGGGCAAACAGATCACTCCCTGAGCAATGATGTTTAATGTTCTGTCAGGAGCATTTTTTTGAATTCCTCATGGATGGGTTATGCCTTTTCTGAGAGGGAAAAATATGACAGAATCTCTTTTTAAAACTATGTTGCACTTTCAAAACAGCGTTTTATAAGTTTTTCTCCACTCAGGGAAGCCTTTCTATCTAACCTAGTTTTTGAAACTTTACTTCATGTGCTGCCACATTTTTATCCCGTTTTCTGAAATATTAAATGAAAATTTTGAAATTGGACAGTAATTCAAGCCAAAAAGTGCCTCAAAAGGGAACTAAACATCAACACCATCTACCGGAGTAAGAGGCTATTAAGCCATGAAGATGCCAGGAATACAGGAGGAGAGACATCTCTGGGCATAGCATCCAGTTACTCTTCTACTGCTGTTATGTTGCACCAGTCCTTTTATTGAGTGAGTTCTGCCAACAGGTCAAAAGTGAAGGGAGCAGCTTCCTCAGCATTCCCTGTTTGTCCGCACAGCTATGCAGAATCAATCAATCTTGTCTACTTCCATTGCATACCATCAATTATTACTTGCTAGAAAAGACAGACTAAGGAAATACAATTCACTGTCCATTCACTTGTTAGGTGCCTATTCATTCACATGTGTCCATAGCACAGAGGTAAAATTCTCACAGAGAATCTGTGTTTGGCTCAGCACTGCAGGAAAAGACTGCAAGATCTGAACTGTCTCTCAATCAAACGCTACCTCCAAACACATGCTGGCGGTGCGTGTTCATCTGAGGGAGAAGTCTGTGCAATAGCAACTGACAGAAATAAATGTCCACTCTTAAGGAGACAAACTTTATCATTTTTTACCACATTCTTAAAAACTGGGTAGATTTTACTCTTCACAGTTTCTCAGAAAAGCATTATTATGCCTACTAAAGCACATAAAACTCAGCAAGTCGTAACATAACTCGCAATCTTTAGAAGTTAGGGAGTATACATCTGAACTTCCTTCACACATTGACTGCTCCAATTCTGCAAACTGAAGTGGGTAGAATAAATGAGACAGTAGTTTTACAACACTAGATTCTAACAAGAGTTCAGACCTTGAGCTATATACCCCGGGGTAATTAAAAAAAGATTAATTATTACCACTTCTATCTAATTTTGCATGTAAGGGAAATAGTTACTGCAGTAGGGAAGGTAAAACATGCCATGCTTGTAAAAGAGGATTTTCCATGAGAAAAACAAATTGAAATACAGGTAGCTAAATTTTTCACTTTCAAGGTCCAGATCATGAGCGAAGAGTTCATATACTGTTGTCTACTGTCTTTCTCTGAAAGGGAAATTATATAACTAAAGTTTTAAAATTATTTGTAACAAGGCAGAAGAGAAAAAAAAAAAGAAAAAACAAAAAGGAGAGAAAATGCCAGTATTGATATATAGGGATTTGTTAGCTGAGCACTATGCATCAACTTGATGAATACTCTGGGTGATATCAAGTTACATTAAAAATTACTAGTCATGTTGGTTACTATCTTCTATTAACAACTGTTAGCTGTCATTAAACCTTATCTAGCAGTGCAGATATTTATGAAATATTTTCTGCATTAATATTTAATGCCAAATACTGGATGAATAAGAATGAACTTTGAAAAGTAAAGACAGACATTACAGTTGAAGATGAAAACAAAGGCCAAAAAACCCCCAAATCCCCTCATCTTACAACAGGCACTGGAAGTTCAGAGATTCAGCACTAGGGGCCACTGTAAGCCAAGCAATGTCGGGGAAAGAAATGTACACACTGAAAATGTCCTAAGAACTTTATTAATGCTATTGTAAACCACTACTTTCAATTTCAGTGATTTCTCTCAAAGAAGAAAATTAAATGGTAAATATGAAGGACAATACATTCTAAGGGTCCTAAGAAAGTTTCAGTATTGTTTTTTTCTTATTCTTCTTCAGCTTGTCTTTCCTTTTGAGTACCACTGGAAAGAAATAGCTGTTTACACAAACCCCAGATTTTTGTTTAAATTAGAACAGGGAAGTAATGGAGGTGCATCACATGTCCCAGTTAAGTGTTGCCATTACAAATACAGTGAAAAGCTACCAAATCTTTTAGGAACTCACGTCATGAATCCTAAGGAATATCTCTTTGATTTTTTGATCAGACTTTGTTTCAAAATCTTTTAATTGCTTACCTATGAGAGAGAGAGACAGGGAGAAAGAGACATCTAAAATATTAGAGAATACTTTCTACAGTCTCAGACTTTTCCTACTGTGCTTAAGGTTTCATTAGATTCAGCTGCAACATTGTCTTATCTGTGAACTCAACCCATTCCTATAAAAGAAGTATCTGAATATCTTCCACTAAAGAACAAAGGGCAAGTTATTAGTAAAGCACATCCTGATTTCTGACCTGTAGAGTGTGTTGCTTGGAAGCCTTTTCTTTGAACTGATGCATCAGAAATAAAGCGGAGAAACATTTTGTTTCCAGTAGCAATAAGAGGATCTGGTATCTTACTGCCACATAAGCGCCCAAGGATTGGTGATTTTTCACTTTCACCATCAAACACTTCCAAGTGGTCATAAGCACATTCTTGATGTTGTTCTATTTCAAATTCATTGAACATCTAGGAGAAAAAGAAAGTAAAATTATCCATTGTGCTACTGCGTTTATTGTACTTACACGGTACATATGTTAATCTGTTTTAGAATACAAAGATATAGTTAAGATGACAGATTTAACATTACTGCCTCTACAAGCCTGCAGCTTGAGTAACATTGATCTTGAGAAGGTGGAATAACAGTTAAGACAGTGAACTTCAAGAGTGCAATCATCCTTCATATAGAAAGGTATTAGAATCTTTATAGTCCACTAATATCTATAAGAGAACGTTAAATCTAGAATACAGTGGCCTTTCCATTGAATTTGCACTGTTTGTAGGATTATTCCAAATTTCACACAACATTCAAAACAGCAAAAAGTCAGAAATTACTACTTCCTTGCATAGTTGAGGATCAATTGAAACATCTGCAAAACATAATGACCTCTCTCTTTGTTTTTTAAAACTTACATTTCACTGCAACTAAAGCCTTTGAGAATGACATTTCCACATGAAGGGTTATGCATGGAAGTTATACTTTCTAATCTATTATCTAGAGATCTATTTTTTTATTATTACAATGCTAACAATATTTCAGGCTGTGACCTCCATACTAAGGTCACCTTTTTGCTAGCAAAAGCATTGTGAAAAATAACAAACTTATGTTGGTTATTTAACAGAAAAAACTTCAGGCATTTCCAAAAAGTGTATGCCATACCTGACAGAAACTGTTAACACACACACAACTAAAACCTCCTTAAAAATGGAAGGGTGTCTTCCAAGAATAGACTGATTTGAATAAATTTATTTCAAGGGGACATCTAAGAGTTTTCAGATAAGACTTTTTGAACAGGGTTAAATGTCAACAGGAAACCTAAAACACTGAAAAGGAATATACATATACCTCTTTGTAAATTTTTCAGAGTAACCTACAGTTAAAGGTGAAATTCACCTTATCTATTTTTTTTTTCATTAAAATAGCATAAAAACACGGAGTATAAATTCTTTCATGAGTAGTCATATAGCTAACCATTTATTAAAAAAAAACCACAAAAAGATTAAGAAAAATAATTAAAAGGAAAAAAAACTAATCAAATACTGAGCAAATATCATAATTAAGCATTCTCTTTGGGATACCAAAGCAAATGACTTACCAAATCCCTTGTGGAATCCAGACAGTGTGAAATGTGATGGTAATTTATATTAACAGCTGACCTAAAGAGCTAACGCAATGCTTTTTGCCCAAAGAGCTGCAATATTCAGAATAAAACTTTTGTTTTGTGAAGAGCTGCATGATGCAGTGAATGCAGGCCAATTTCACAGGAGAATTTTGGGGTTTACATTAAGGAACTGAAACTGCAGAGGCAATGAAAACAGCTATACAGCAGTCCCTCCTGCTACTCTTAAATTGTGGTCAGCCATCCTACTTTTATGACGTCAAGTATGTGTTGTCATTTACACCTAAATAAAATCTGATGAATTAAAAGAAAACACAGAAAGCTACGAGACTAAATCTCAGTAAGGGAGTTAATTATACATAGTATTGAGTCAAGTCAACTTGGACTCACTGGGAGAAATAGATGTAATCCAAGAGCACCCTGCGGAGCCTCATTTTCTTTTAGAGGAAAATAATATCATTTTTATTCACTTCTTATCAACATTAAAAAAACCAAACAAAACAACCACTCTCCAGGAAGCACATCTCACCATGACCTGTAAGACAAACCTATTATTTTTAATATTTTACTTTTCGCTGGGATTCCTAAGCATGCACAAACACAGTACGTTATATTGCATCCCACAAAGATGACCACAAAAAAATCCTAAATCTGTTGTGAGTACAGCAACTGATTGTAGCAATTGCAAAGAGAATCAAAGGAATTTTTTTTTAAAGGAAAATCAGATCTTAACATGCGTAGTCTTTTAAAAGCTCAAAATGCCTTATATCTTAAAACACTCAAAAAGAGTCTCTATTTCTTGCATAATCAGTCGGTTCCTAGCATATTTGAAAGAGAAGAACTGACACAGACTTCCCTTAAACATAACTGAATAGTTGCTGTCAATAGATTTCACAAATGATCTAATAAAGTTGTTAGCATAATTAAATCACACCCTGTCTTCCTGGGACAAATACTTTTGAATTCCTACCCCACCATGACTACAGTCCTCATTTTAATTGTGTCCTTAATGGGAATGGTGTTCAGAAATGTTACATACTGCTTCTGAACATCGAACCCCTTCTATCTATACCACTCAGCCGAGTAGATATGTTGGTAGCACTTATGGATAGTTGCCTGAATGGGACACTTCAGTCTGTCTCTTATAAACATCCGGCTGATTAGGTTGTGAAAATTGGTCTCTCTGCTTCACACATTTTCAAAACCATCTTTATCTACATGTTTCATTTAAAACTTCTGAAGCACGTATCTATTTTTTTCATAGACTTCTTGATTGCACTAAATGCTTAACTTTAGTCTGTTCAGGAAGAGACTTTTCAATGATTATCAGAGTGAGAGCAATCACAACAAAATATTAGTTTCTGTACAAACAGCCCTCTCAAAAAAGGAAGCACAACCCCATAGTTAATATGGATTGCTACCATGAAAAAACCAATTCTCTCCTTGTTCAGTTTGAACAAATAACCTATGACAAGTAAACTTAAATACAGTGTGAAAGTCCAAGAAAAAGTATTGATCCGTTGTGGAATTATGGTTAATAACCTACAATACCAATACAATAATATTATTGATATGGCACCTTGCTGTACAACACAATTTAAAGATATTATACACACCAAATTTAGTAATTGACCTTACTAGCTTGCACAGAAGAGCTGATCTCAGACTCCAAATCATTGAGATATTTTTGAAAATTCTATCTGAATGTTGAAATTTTGCCTGCTGAGATTATAAGTACTGGAAAAGCTTTTACACCAACGTGCCCATGCCTATGCCTGGTTGGCTTTGGTTTATTCAGCTAGAATGCTTGCTCAGAAGTAGCAGTAGGAAGGCCGACTGAATCAAAAACCTGTTTTTTCACCCTTGGAATGGGCAGAACATGCACACCGCTCATTTTCCACCCCCCGCCAACTCCCCAGCATAATTTAACTGGGTTTTTTTTGGTGAGCAGGAATCAATACACAATCTCACATCAGCACCAGCACCAGTAACAGGAGTATAGTGTTTAACCCCAGCCAGCAGCACATTGCTCACTTCCCGACCAGTAGCACTGGGGGGAGAATTGAAATAGTAAAAGATAGAAAACTCATGGATTGAGATAATGACAGTTTAATAGGGGAAGCAAAAGCTGTACACACAAACAAACCAAAACAAGGAATTCATTGACTGCTTTTCATGGACATGTAGGTGTTCAGCCATCCCCAGGAGAGCAGGGACCCATTACACATAATGGTTCCTTGGGAAGACAAATGTCATCATTTCAAACATCCCCCTTCCTCTTCCTTCACCTCCATTTTACGTATTGATCGTGATGTCATATTGTATGGAATATCCCTCCGGTCAGCTGGGGTCACCTGTTCTGGCTGTGTCTTCTCCCAGTCTTCCACGCACTCCCAGCCTCATCACTGGCATGGCAGTAGGAAAAGCAGAGAAGGCCTTGGCTCTACGTAAGTACTACTCAGCAACAAGAAAAACAGCCCTATACTATCAACACTGTGTTCAGGATAAATCCAAAACATAGCCCCATACCAGCCACCGTGAAGAAAATTAACTCTACCCCAGCACAAGGGGTTAGAGTTTGGCTAAGGTCAGCAGTTATGAGATTACAATATCCCTTTCATCCCTGCATCAATATTGCCTATTGCTTCTACCTCTCTGAAGTAGAGACAGCTCTCTCCTTAACTTTATTTGCTCCAAAACTGCCATAAAATCAATTTATCATATTTTAAAATATGTAAGGCCAGCTTTTTTTGTGGCTGTTCCCTGAGTACAGAGGAACAGTGAAGGAACACTGGGACTGAGCTCAAAGCAAAAAGCCCCCTAGGTAGGACCATGCCTTCAGCTTTGTACAGAGGCTACGTAACCTCCATAGACCTGTAAAGTTCTCTGCTAGCCTGTCTTTAGCCACCAGCATTGCCCTCAGCCAGCTGGACACAAAATTCATAAATCTAATCCAGTCTGCTCTTCTACTCATGCTAAAATTTGGAGCCACTTTTAAATGAGAAATCCAGATTCTTGAGGTTTTTGCATCTTCTTTTCCTCCTCAAAAAGTACAGACCAGAAATACAAAAAGTGTGTGTTAGAGGACTGTTCATAACTCAAATTTGGTTTTTTCTGGAGTTGTTTAAATGGCCTCTGCCACATTTGTCAAAACTTTGCAGAAGTTTTATGAGTTGCAACAATAATACAGTAAAGTCTGACAGGAGGAAAAGTATTCCTCCTGCCTTCTGCTGTCCAGAATATTCCCAATCACTATAAACTTGAACGATAGCTCATGATATTGAGTAGTCCCTGTTGGCCAAAAATGGACAGGAGTCAGCAAGTTTCTAAAATAGTTTACCTCTGGGATGCAAACTGATGGTAAAGTTTAGCAACAGTTTCATATAATTGAGCAGTCATTTGAGAAGCTGGCTTGGTAGAAGAAAAGATAAAAAGGAAGAGTCACCAGAAACTCACCAATTTGACCCTCTGCCCAGGGGTGGCACTGATTTCCCATGTGCACTCCTTTCTGCTGGGATACTTGTCAGGCCAATTGGGACTCGTGATGATACCATTGGGACTGTGGATCTTCTGTTCACACTCAGCTGTGCCAACAGTGATAGCATCAGTTAGTCTGGGATTCTGCACTCAGAAGTAGCCAAAAAATACTATATTTTTCAGGGCACCCACTGAATGGAAAGGATCTAGAGAAAGACAGGTAAGGATGCTCTTCAGTGTGCACAGTCATGTTCTTCCCATCAGGCACACACTTAACAGCATTAACCCAGCATGCCTGCTTATTTATTGCTGTGAAAAATACACTGTTGTTTACAATAGATGGTCTTTTTTTGGAAAAAGTATTATAAAGGAATAAACATAAGATAAATATTAAAAATGAATCAAATATTTTGATATTTCTCCCATCCTACATAAAACTAATTATGTAAATCCATATGAAAAATCTTTCTACTCCAACTACAAAAGAAATTTCTTGAACAATTTATTTTTTTCTATTCTTGCTAATTTTCATATTGCAGCTACAGAACAATCATTTTGATTTCTTAACAACAGTTTCTATGGATATATATACAACGAGAGAACAGCTAAGACTAAACTGTATTTAAGAGGAACAGCTTAGTCATTCACATTGTAACTGAACCACTAGCACAAAGAACTAAAAGAAGGCATTTTTGTATTTATTTTTTTAACAATCTCAAATTGCCTTCTAAATATCATTCTAAAACCAGTGAAAATGCAAATTATTCACAAAAGGTATGTCTTTAGTCAAATTAAATCTATGCTAGAAAACAATCTTGAGAAATTGCAGTAGCTTACATAATATTGCACACTTGAAGTTCATTTGCAGATAATCTAAATTCTATTTAAGTCCCAAAGCCTATTGTTTCTTGGAGGTAGCCACACCTCGAGGCAGCCAACAGGAAGAAAAATGCATAGGGATTTGACTGGAACTTAGATTGTCTGAATATGTCCCCTAAAATAAACCTAGAAAGGGTAGATGGTTTCAACCTGACTTTGAGGAAACTACCTGCTACTGATAGGAGCAAATGACAGCTTTACCAGACTTCTCTCCAGAAACTCTACTCCTGTGTTTAATACAGCCTTAGATAATACTCTATCAGAACTTTAAACGTTCTGCATTTCATAAAACTGTTAAAAGTAGCACTCTCTGCCAATGATCCCAAGTTTTCCAAACTGCATTCCTGTGGATGTCAAACTCAGCCCACACAAATGCTGGGGATGAAGGTGATGGGAAAGGGGAGTGGTGCTGGAGTGCTTAAGCTAAAATGTCTAAGACCCATTACCAAGATACTTTTTCCTTTCTTTTGTTTGAAAGGAGAGCTGCAGAAAGCTTTCTGCAAGACAGTTGTGTAATCAACCATTCAAATACCTTACTACTTACCTTCTTTACAGTCATGTTTATTTTCATGTAGCACAAATCCATTTCGGCACTGGCAAACATAACTTCCTACTGTGTTGATGCACTCATGCTGGCAGCCACCATTGTCCTTCGAACACTCATCCTTGTCTAAAAAATACACAAGAAGGTCGAGTGAGCATCACAGCCAGCAGTAGACCTTTCACCAAAAAGAAAAAGGTTGAGCAGAGAGTTTGAGTCCAGAAAAGGAAAATCTATGGCACAGTCACTCTTCTCAGTAAGGCAGTTTCATGGTACCTTAGTTCTAGACACTCATTGCTCAGCCTACAACCTTGCACCACAGCACAAAGAGTCTGTCTCATCTTTCTAGGAAATGAGAATTAGTTCCTGAGGGAGTTCCTAAGCTAGAACAAGGAGAGTTACCAGCTTTTACTCTTTCAAGTGGTCTAGCTGGTAAAAATTTCATAAATATCCAAACTTTTATTTTACTTAACAATGGCAGTGTAGTTTATGGACAACACATAAAGCATTCCAGCTTTATGCAAATTCCACAGTTTAATGGTGGTATGTTCAAAGGAACACATAGGGCAAACAAGACTTTAACCTCTACATTACTAAACATGTAAAAAGAGAAGGATTTCACATCAACTTTTCTAATAAGTTTCTTTCTTTTTCCCCAGCAGAGTGACAGTGTGCTTAACTTTTAATGAATCTGGACATTACAGAACATCACAAAAAGAAAAACATTTCTTTTAAAAAAAAAAAAAGAAATTGGCATTAGTTAGTTCAAGATATACAATGTAGCATGCAGTTCTCTTTATTAACATATAATCCTTCAAAAGAGCTTTTAGTGTGTTAGAAATAAAGCAGAGAGTAGCAGAGGAAATATGACCTGCGTTAAACAGCTACAAATTCATTGCATGGAAAAAAGCCAAACTAGATTAACAGGCTGTCATTCTAACAAGAGGCCTCAGCTGCCACCCTTCTATGTCATTCAGCTGTTCCTGTTTTAGTGAGGCTGGTCCTTTTAAAAGAGGCAGACTGCTCCTATTATATATGTACACATACATGTATATATGTATGCACATCCATATAACTATATACATATAGACACATATATATACATTCTTAGATATAAAAATATGCCTATATATATAAATACACACATGTTTTAAAAACCCTGTATTTTACACAATGTGTCATTTCAACACGTAAAAGAGAGGAAGAAAAAGAGCAAAGAAACTGTGGTCATCGAAGGGGTCTGGTTTAACAGGTTTGAAATGCAGAGCATTTACCCCCTTCAGCCTTATGTACCTTGAAAAGCAGCAAACATTGTCTGCAAACAAGGGAACGTGATATTTCAGACTTTAGTAGGTACAATAAGAATTTCTATAGATTAGAAGACACTATGGATAATTTAATTCTCTTTTCATTGTCTTACTCATGCATTTTTTCCCTGTCCTTATTGATGCTCATATTTAGTAACACAACAAAGGAAGTTTGCATTATATTTGCATATATATAATCTTCCTCTGCCAAAGTGTATGCAACTCTGCCAAAATGCAACACTTTTACCCATTGACTTGCAGGTCTTTCCATAAAAATCAGCTTTTACTTATAATACATGATGATAATGTACATTTATACATAAATTCTGCAAGTCAAACCCAAGCATCCACTGCATTTTGTTCTGTAAATCTCAAATCTGTTTGCACTGAAAGTTTTTGGATGCTTTCTGGAAATGTGAACAGATTTGAAGATTAAGAAACAGTTGAAAACATAGGTACCTCATACATTCAAAGACTTATAGTTGTCATTTTGATGATGAAAGAAGCATAAAAGCTCCACAATGCACTGCTTATGCACTTTACAATGCAAGTCCCAAACTGAGGTAGTAAATTTATGTAATTTCAAACCAAAGTTATAATCTTTCACCTTTGCAAAAGTAAGCACCATCATAAATTAATTCCACATTGCAAGTGAAGAATAGTAACAAGCAATTGAGAAATTAGAAATAATACAAACAAAAGTCTGTAATGTTTTTCCTCCTAAGAATTAGTTTGTAATTTTCCAACAAAATAAAAAAATAAAAGGAAGGCAAGTTCAAAATGCATTCAAGTTAGGCTTTCAAATACAGAGTAGGTGCATGAATTCAAAATAAAAAGCCCTGTTCATTTTCATCTTCCACCAAACCATGCAAAACATTCTGAGAAGTATTGTAGCATTAAATAAGTTTATATTCTATAAAATAATCTCTAATAAGACAAGTGCGTAAAGCAAACAGTCCTCTGTTGGATCTCCTCAGAAATAAAATAACGGACAGAAGGTAGAAAGGAGAAGTTTTGGAACACATTTGAGCTACAATAATTACTTGTACATGGTTAATCAAGGATGCAACTGTTGAACAAGCCTTCCTCACACTTCATAACTGAGGACAGACTTTCTGTCAAATTGATTGCCCAGTTTCAAAATTCGTGAAAAAAACAATTAGTCTGCATTAGTTCCAAGAACAAATGTTTTGCCATGTAAAAACAAAGCCATTTGTTATGCTGACAGATGGAAATTAGAACCCCCAGTTTTGAATGGATACTTTCCTTCTTTTCTCATTTCAGTACTCAGAAGAGGGAAAGATCCATTCTCAACAAAATGTTAGACTGAATCATTCAGAGGACAAATGGTCGTACCTCTGAGACCCTCAGAGGCCACCAGTCTGTGATTAATACGTACTCGGCCTGAAGGGACCTGTATCAAATCCTCGCAAGATTCAAAAACAAAAATTTTCTCTTTGCAGGCAGCTTTCTTGTCTGTGGAAAAAAATGTACCAGGATGGCACCAGAGATGAGTTTGTGCTCAAGGCTAGAAACATTCTAGCTTTCTATTTTTAATTGCTCAATGAATCATCACCCAAGAAAAAATGTCCCAACAAACCTTATTTCATCAAACATCATGTATCTTTTGAATGATCACGTAAAGAATCATGTTTATTTAAAACACTGAAGTAACTCTGAAACTTATGACAAAGGGAAGCAGTTTAATGACATATTATCACTGATCCTTAGGTTATCTTCTCAGAAAGATCACAGAAAAAAATAAAGGGGGTGGGTTTTTTTAATATATATTATTAATATTATTATATTTTTGGCATTATTTTACACTCCTCTAGTCTTACAGGCCCAGCAGATTGCTAGGTCCTGCAGGGACTTACTGCTAGGTCATTGTCTTGTAACAAAAGCGGAAGAGAGAGACAGAGGAAGACAGAAAAAAAGAGAAGAATAAAACCCCAATTACTCAAAGTTGCATTATTTATTTATTTTATTTATTTATTTTATTTATCCAATTCCAAAACTGTTTATTAAAAGTGTTAAAAAAATTAATATATCATTACTTCCTAGTTTCCTCTCTTTATCCAATAAACTTGATTACAAATATACAATAGTGTCTCTGTAGATCAGCTAGATCCCAATTGAGCTTTCTTCAGAACTGTCCCATCAAATGAAAATTTTACAGAATACTGGAAAAAAAAGTTTTTCTCACTTTCCAGTAGCACCTGTCTGGCTGTTAACACTATTTTACAGCCAAAAATGTAATTACATGTTGTCTTGTATCAACATAAATACCTTACTAATGCAGGTCATCTGTTGCCCTATGTCACTGTTTGCTTTCACAGTTTATCACAGTAGGTTCCAACCACCCAAAAACTGCTTTCTGTCTTCTAAGTTGGAGCTGGGCCATGCTTTCTCAGCTCTAGCTGTGGCTGCAGAATTCACCACCAAAAGAGTTACAAAAAAAAAAAGAGAAATTCTTTGGCTGTGCTTGGGGAACATATTACAGTTCCTAATCTTCACACTAATCTGACATACCCACCTTTCTCTCTTGCTGAGCATTGTTTATGCCCTTTGTTGGTGAATAGAGTGCAAGATACAGTGTTTTACTCATTAATTTTTTTTCATTATATATGTCTTTATAACTCTTTACACATATTATTGTGATTTAATTAATAAAATTGGTAAATGCCTCCAGCAAGTATCTAAGCATTTCTACCCAGATATCATTCTAAAAGTATTGCCTTCTGAAGACTTATATATATATATATATATATATATAATATATATATATATATATATATATAGGCAAACCCCCACATTTCATCAGCTGAAAAGTTATCAGTTACCAACTCCCAAAAGTCAAAATGCTTGAAGTCTCAGGTCTGTTCTTTATTGATATTTCAGTAGCCTATTATGCCCATATTAAGGAATTCAGGGGTAAGAAAGTCTCAGTGTTTTCTGAGAGCCCTAAGGTTTTTGTCTGATGAATTATTTGGAGATGACATCCTCTTTCTAGATACTTTATGTTTGGAAGTTTGATTTGTTTCAAGCATTAAAAAATTGTCAAATATTTTCAAATGGAGAAAGGTAACTTAGTAGAATAGAATCTGCTAGAAATTAGAAAAACTGGAAGAGAACTGAGAAAAAATAAAAATAAAATACAAAGTATTTGGACTCATATGAAACAAGAAAAGAGATTATGATAAAAATGCATTATGAAACAGTAAATTTATATGCTTACAGAATTAAAGACTATTTATATCAAATTATCTCTTTTATTTTGAAGGGAATTAGATATATACTATATCAAGGACACATCACGTTTCTATTAATTAAAAAAACACATCAGTTCAGATTTATCCCTGACTAATTAATTTTTTCTGGTGATCAGTGATGTAATTTAAATTATTATTTTTTTTTTCAATTACCAGGAAAATCCTGTTTTCACCTTTTGAGAGAAAGGTAAGAAAACTTCATCCAGAACTAAAAATACAAGAGAAACAGTTCTGAAGGATTACAAGCTGATGCTTTGTACTCTATGACTTATAGTCCAGTCTTTCCCCAAGATACAGCATTGGTGTGATTTCTTCCTAGAACTCATTCATAATAGTAAAAAAATCATTTAAGCAACCAATAAAATAAATAAGTACATATGTGAAGATGAACTATCACTTCAAAGAAACCCAAAATTTAACTGAATATAAATGTGTAAATGTTCAGCAAGTCCAGAAAACACAACTTCTGAACCACAGAGCTTACACAAATTACAAAGCTATCATTGCCAATCTTATGTGACATAGATCTTGAAAAGATTTAACAAACTTCATTTGCAGTTTTTAGAACTTGAACATATCAATCCTTATTTCTGTAAAAAGTCAAAATGTGTGACAATTATGAGGCCTACATAAAATAACTTTCTGAGTAAGCATTTCTAGGAAGTGTTTCTTCTAGGAAGAAGCTCTGTGTGCACACATGTTTTTACTACAAATAGAGGGAAACCTTGAAAGCTTCTTGCTATTGTAAACAATAAATTTAAAAGCAAAAAATGTTACTGTATGTAAAGATGGATCTGTAAGACTATGACCAGAGAAATGTGACAACTAGAAAAAAAAAATTCTTTAGAGAAGGTAAAATGTTTGTTAATGTCTTTGCATGAGATGAAACATCCTTTTTCATCTTTCATAATTGCTTAATAAAAATATTAAATAATAGGAAACATTAAAAGTCTAAACTGTTTGTCTTAGTTATTTTTTCCCTTTCCAAACCACCTCACTTATACATTATACTTATTACCTAGTCATAATGATGAGTTATTAACAGTAACCAATTAAATACCATTTCACTTCAGTTTTCATAAAATATTTTAGCAAAAAGTTGCTCATAATGGTAACATATTTTACTACATGCTAAGGATTCTCTAGATTCAGATTTTTAACTGCTATCAAAAAAACCTGGGGCACAATTCAACTCCCAAATTCTTCTATGGGACATCCCGTTTAGGGAAGGGGGCAGATGGGGCTGGTTTTTTGTGTTGTTTTACACAAGATAACATACCTCCCCATTTGTGTGTGTGTGTAAACACACAGGAATAACACAAAGCAAAATTTCTCAACAAGCACCGAGTGGTATCCTGCCAGAGTCAGATTATTATATTCTAGTCTCAATGGGTAATTGCAGAGACAACTGTTGTGCAAATATTTCCTCACATCTTAAGCTTCACTCATGTCTAATTTTATTCAAGAATACACGTCCTTATATGATATAAACTTCCATCACTCTGATCTGCCTCAGTAAAACTACACTCGTAAATAAAAAGATTTTTGCAAGAGCAAGATCTTAAACTCTGTTCTTCTGCAAAACATTAAGAAGTGCAAAGTTTGGCACAAAAGTACCCATAATGTTAAACAAATGTTGTAGCACAGTGGTAATTTCCCAACAAATGGAATATATTAAGAGACCTGAGTAGAAAAAATGCAAGTGTACATAGTACGCAACTGGTATCATATTACAACTGGGATTTGAAAAAAATGGCAACAAAACTTGGGATAAAAGAAATGTAACAAAAATGTAGGAATACAGTGAACTTACTTTCTTCCTCTGTATTCCACAAAGTTTATTTGCTTCTGCTGTTATTTAAATATATATATTCATATATTTTCTACAGACATTACAATTCAGAAGGGTATTTTAAGACAGAAGAAGGGTTTATGCTTATGTAAATAAAACAAATTCAAAGCTATCAGGAAAACCATAAACAAAAAGGCCAATCATTTTCAAACCAAGAGAGTGCTCGCTCCACCCAGTCAATGGACACTCAGAGACACTCGCAGGTATACAAGAGCAATTTTCTATACCTGAGAAGAAGTGTGCCTTGAAACCTTTTTTTGACACAGTGTTGTCAGATCGAAACTCAATTCGCATATTGTTGTACTGAGAGGTGATAACTTCAGGCACTTCTGTACCACAGAATTTACCGTGTAGCTTAGAATCAGAAGAAAGGCCACTACGAATCTCTACATAATCATATTTGCAAACCTGAGAAAAGAAAGGAGAGAAAAAATTTTGTCTAACCAAAATAAAAGCATGAAGTTGTTTGCAAATGTCAGAACTCTGATTGGTATATGCTGCTTAATAATACATGACTCTGAAAACATTTGTAAATTCTTACAAACACTCACTGACTTTATGTAAGAACATTTTAAGGTCACTAACACAAAACTATACTATGAATTACATTCAAAATTATATTTTTATAGATACTCATCTCTATTTCATGTCTAAATTTCAAGATGCTTAGTAGTATTTCTATTTAATCTAAAAAGTAAACATTCCATTGACAGTAAACTAAAATCTGGAACCATTCACCCTAAAAATTATACCTATTTGTTTGCTATAAATGACATACCTCGAACCTACAAACTTTCTACTGCTTGCATCTCATAGATTTTTTAAAAAATATTAATTTTCACTTAGAAACTTGCAAGGTTTGTTTCTACCATAATGTATTTAAAACTTACGAATTTATTTACAAATATATGACTCCGCACCATTAAAACAGTACATTGTTCTTTAACAGTAGCCCAGCTATAATGTCAATGCATGATACACGCCATTTTCATTAAAAGGTTAAAAATAAAGTAAAATAATGTAAAAAAAAAGCCTTATGCAAGGCCTACTATTCATGATAATACTTTCAATGCATAATCCCTTGGCCAACCTAAAGCCTTCCACCCAAAAACTTCTAAGCTTCTTAGGCTCAACTATCAATCATTTAATCAAAAATGTCCCAGTTGTCTGCAATTAATAGCTTAAGAAAAAACAATGGCCAGGAGGATTCATGCGGAGCTTATATTGTCCATTAAATCCAAGTTGTATTTGATAAATCACAATTTCCAGGCAAAAAAGAATTGTCAGAGGAGTTGGAAGGGAACAATCGAAAAGGAGGTTTTGGCATTTGTTATTCTCTTTCCTTAGGAAAAATTGTCAACATTTCCAATTGTTTTTAATATAACACACCGAAGACATAAATTTTTATTTTTATTGGAGTAATTTTCATATATTGCAGAGTCAGAAAGTGACTAATTCAGTCGCAACTATTCTTACACAATATAAAAAACACAAAGATTCGTAAAACTTGAGCTACTGATACATGCTGATTTATATTACTGGAAGATAAATTCATAATAATGCATGCGATTTTCAAATACAGCTCACTACTTTTAATAAATCCCAGTAATTTCAGCAATATACTAGTGGTGAGTTTTTATGGTTTCATAGCTTTAGATCAGGTAAAGGTAATTTCAGGTAGGTCTAACTTCCTCTGTACTACACTCTATTGAAAAAAATTATACAAGGTAAATGTAAAATGTAAACGTAAAATATTAAAATTGTAATAGTGGAAAAGGCATATTAAACTTGGCCTTAAATGGAGCTCCTATAAGAAAAAAATAATTAGAGTACTTGATAAATGTATACTTTTTTTGTCTGCACTCAGACAATTTATTAGAATTTTCCAGATATTATATGTTTCTTCTGATTTTCACATCATTAGTACTACCTTTTAACAGTATAAAGCTAAGATTTAGTAGCACAGGAGATGATCAAACTGAAGTTCTGAATGTTGAAAAACATTTAAATTTTTTGAATCTGCTTAAGTTACATGTCTTGTATGACCTTAGAAAACTGATTTAACTTCATCATACCCGAGGTGTTTTCCTTGCAAATCTTAAGTACCAAGAAAGGGCAGGGAAAAAAAATTACAATTTGTTCAAATGGTAAATAAATTTTAATTCTCTGGAATTTTTAAGTTTTTATTACACCTCTTTCAGTTCTAGTAATAATTATAATAGGGCATGAGTGGAACATATATATCCTTGAAAGCTGGAATTTCATGGTCTTTAGAACCCACTCCAAATACTAGAGGAAAAAAAAAAAATCTCACATTGCTGCCTCTGCAAATACTTTTGATGTATTTTGGAGAAGGCATGTCTGGTTTGGTTCTCAGTTATAAATTAAACTGCAGCTTTTGCCCCTTTAAATCCCATGCCCAAAAGACAGGCCATCTTTATCCTAAATATGTTGTTACAAATTTGTTTAGTCAGAAATAATGTCCTGGGATTTGCATCCTTAATGCCATGTGAAGAACATGCATAGAAACTGAATGGTTACAGCACAGCACTTTATGGCTGGAGTGTGACAAGGGAACTCAATGTTATGACAGAGAAGTGTCTACTAAGCAGAAAAAAAGCTTAAAAGTTGATGTTGAAACCCATATTTTATGTTTCTCATCCAAAAAAACCACTGTAACCCCTACCACTTTGTTTAAAGCTATAAGGAGCATCCTTTACTAGATGAAGGGCTCTGCCCTGTCCCTCCTGCTACCTGGGGACAAGATCCCCCATGCCTTGGGGCTGATCAGCTCAAAAACTGCTGCTATTCTATTGTGCCTTATTTCTGGTACTGCTTGTTTTAAAATACTCCCCCACTGAGATACTTGTGATTTAAATGCTCCCTCACTTCATTACTAACCACATCTTATGTGTATGCTTTGTAGTCAGTCTGTAAAGATGATTTGGTTTCTCCAGATTTTCTTCTCTTGAATTCTTTCCAATATTCCTCAGCCCCATTTGCTCTGTTTTACTTTGTTGATAAAAAAAGTCAGCTGAGACTCAGCAGAGAACATTTTTTTAAATTTCTTGTAATGCACATACATTTAGATGATATGTAAAAGAGAGCTATTCTCTCCATGTTTGTTTTGAAAGAATCCAGAAACAGTCCCAAAATGAAAACAAGAATATCTGTGCTTATTGTCAGCATATGAAAGGTCAGCAAGGGTTTTATAAGACGATATCTATTTTTGAATGCTTGCAAAACTCTTCATCATGTAACAGATTGTGCAGCTCTTTGTACACAGTTACTTACTTCGTTTCCTTCTAACTCAAAAAACTCAAACTTCATTGAAATTCGGTACTGCGTTGGGGCGACCACCTGCCACACACAGTTTTTGTTTGGAGGATACTCTGTGGGCCACCCTGGTGTGGTTATAGTCCCATTTAGCTTTGTCAGGAGTCCTCCACAAGCAGCTGTAAAATTAAAAGAGCATAATTTCTTGACTGAAACCACGTTTTACTGTAAACAGAAACACTCTGAGAAGAATCAGTCCTCTCATTACTTATAGTGCTGCAATGCCCAGACAGACTAATCAGAATCTTGTTTTATCATTCGTGGTGCAAACAAGGAGAAAGAGACAGCCCCTATCTTGAACAGCTTGCAGGTTTGTGAACAGAGATAAGTTTCAGGATTATACAAGGCGTTATCATATTCATTCTTTTCCCTTCTCTCCAGAGACTCTGGTTATTCTCTCACAGCCTTTCCCATGCAAGTCCTCTGACCTCACCACCCTCCCCAGGACCTTGACCACCTCTCTTCTGACAGACAGACTACTTAAGATGCATTTCGCATTTCCCTAGCTTCTCTCTGACTATTGATACAGACTCAGCCTTACCTGTCTCAGCTCATATAGCTGTATATGCCTCCCATAATCTACTAGATAGGGTCACTTCTATGGAATAGCAGTCACGTACACTTCAGTCATGATTACTTTTGCTGAAGTACAGATGTTCAAGTAATAGAGAAAATGCCCCTTATTTTCAAATATATGTCAAATAGAGACAACCATACAACAGAAAAATACTGTACTATGTTTGTGAATGCAGTTCAGCTAGAAAAGGATAAACTCATTTATCTTTTCCATCTGTGTAAATTTTTTACATAAAAAAGGAAAGTAATGGGATTTGCAGGGGCTCTTGATCACACTCTGCTACATTGATACCTTTACAGCACTATGGCAGCACTGGAAATCATCCACAAATCTCTTTCCAAAGAGCCGGAGGGGGGAAGATCTACTCAACTGCTCTCTGCTAACAATGAATTGCTTTACAAACTGGCTATTCTTATCTAGCTGATGATCTCACACACTGCATCTACTTCATCTAACACAGCTGGGAGAACTCTCCAGTTACTGTGTCAAGGCTCATTTTTTCAACTCAGACTGGCTCCTGGCTTTCCATGCAGAATGCTTCTTGGTATACATGTAAAGGTAATCTGATGGGGGTGGGTGGACTGAGACCCTGGGTCACACCATAGCGTATCAAAAAAGACCAGACATAGATTTAGAGTTTGCAGTCAGATGACACAAGATGTCCTCTCAAATGATACAGTCTGGATCAGGACAAGTACTGCCAGATTTCAATTTCTGCTTTTGAATGTTGTTCTATAGATTGTTGAGGTAATGGTGGGGAAAAAACCCCCAAACCAAAAGTTAAAGCTTTCTAATATGCTGTCATTGGGGGAGATTTGGATTAGAAGACCATCAAGCAAATTTCTGTGCTTGTTGACAGTTCAGTGAAGCATAGGGCAAAGTTTCTAACTTCTACTCTGGCATCATGTGTGAATTAATACATCTAGCTCACTCCTTAAAGGCCCAAACTATAATTAGGACATAATGCTCAGTGTGACTAGATAGTGATTTTAGTTCAGCAGTCCCAAGTACTATCTATATACAGTGAGTGCCACCTGACATGGAACAATCATATATACACTTTAAGGGATAGCTCAGGGTTTTTGCTCTACAATGCACTGCAGTGCTTGAAAGGACTTCTTTTGCTAGAGTTGCTTTACTGTTTGGGTACAAGGGAGGTATTCCTTTTCTGTTTTCTTTTTACGAGTCAAACAGATAAGCTAAGAATAAATTTGTGGTATCTCTTAATTTATTGGTGTCTATGAATAAAAATCCAACAATAATTGGTGCATAATGATCAAGAGCTTATGTTTCTTTCCTTTCATATGAAATATGCATAGAATGCAAAAGTTCAATCCTATGTTTATAGACTTCCACTTATCAGATTTTTATTTCTCCAAATGATTATTTGAACACACTTTTCTCACCCTGAGAAGTAGAATTTGTTTCCAGCAAGAAAGGTCCACAATCTGATTAGGAGTGAGAATGATTTCTCAGAACTTTGAGGTGGACTAATGGATCCCGCTTTTTAGACCTGCCACTTCCCAGGTACACCCCAGCCAGAGGGATTGTTAAATACTCTGATTCTGAGACAGTGGTACATTGCTGGTCGTTACTTGTCTCCTTATGCACAGCGGTAGACTTTGCTTTAGTGAGTATGAAAAATGTAGTAAGTAGTATGAAGTCCTGCTTTGCATTGTTCCTGATCAACTAACAGCAAAATCCTCAAAGCTAAACTGCTGACAGACATCAGATGTACATGACTGCTGTAGACAGACATTACTCTGGCACCACTACTAAAAAGGGAGCACTTGGTTTTCCAAGTTGGATTGCACAGGTCTGCCCTGCTAGGACGGAGCATATAAAATGTGTAGCATTTCATTCAAGCAATGGCACCCTGAGAGCTTAAAGAGCCCACAGAACAGCAACACACTGTACCTTCACAACTCTTTTTGTCAGGACCAAGTTCATATCCAGGATCACAGGCACACTGGTAACTGCCCAGAGTATTTACACAGCGCTGCTCACAGCCACCGTTGTCAGGTTTGGCACATTCATCTTCCTCTACCAAGACAGGGAAGAATGTAAAAATGTGTTAAATAATTACCTTCCTTGGCTGTAACTGCTGTATCAATATTAACCCAGAAAGCTGTATGCATGCCATTGTAAGGTGCACTACATAACACACTGTGGTTGCCTACTAGAGGATTTTCAAATGCTTAGGAGACCCTCAATGGGAAAAATAAAAATTTGAATTTGTCCTTTGTGGGGTTTGGGTGTTTTGGTTTTGGCTTTTTTTTTTTTTTTTTTTTTTTTTTTTTTTTTTGTGGTTTGTGTTTTTTTGGGGGGGGTTTGTTTGTTGGTTTTTTGGGGTTTGTTTGTTCATTTGGTTTTGGTTTTTTTTGGTTTTGGTTTTTTTTGCTTTTTGGTTTTTTTAACAATGCCTACTGACAGCTGCAGAACTAATTTGTAAGCACTTTGTGGGCAGCATACAGTAATTCAGACAGCCATAATCTAAAGGTTGTATAAAGTATTGAAAGAAAGACAGAAAATCCACAGTAGGGTCACTTGAAGGGCACTTTATCTCCCACAGAATCAATCTGTGCATTATCCTGAATTCATACTCAAAAACAGATTAACAGAATCCTCAAATCCCAGGTTTTCATTCTACTGATATTAAAGGGAACAGGATGAATCAGGGCAAGGGAAGGGAAAGGAATTGTGTATTCTTTCTACTAGCTCTGAAGTATACCCATGAGATTCACTGCTAAAATATCCCTCAGATGTTAAAATATTGTTTCCTTACACCAGGACAAGTAATTTCTTAGGAATAAAACAAAGCTCCCCCTCTGATGCCTATAGCCTTCAAAGTTATAACTGTTTACACTCTAAACTGTCAGTTAGGGGAAGAAAAGCCACAGTTTGTGTCTTTTCAAAAAAAGCAAAAATGTTCTTCCGATGGCATGACCTGTATTTCGGGTGTCATCTTGGCCACACCACTGCCAGTGGCTTTAATCGTGCCATGGGCAGCACAGGATGGGAATTACACTTCCCATACACCAAATGTTTCAGATATAGCTGCAGTTGTATGGCACCTTCCTCTCCCCAAAAGTCACTCAAAATTGGAGGAAGACTGTGAGGTCATTGCTCACTACGATTTCTCAGCTTTTTTTTTTTCTTGCTTACAGAAAGTAATAAATTGATAAAGCAGCCTAATGCAGCAAATGGATTAGAAAAAACCTACATAATTTAGACAAAAAAACCCCAAACAACAAAATGAAACCCCTTAACAGAAAAAAATCCATTTGCAATTATAATGTTTGTATTTGATAATACAAGTCAAACAAAGCCACTTTTTCACAAGATTAGATATGTTTCAAAACTAAGCTGATTAACTGAACCTGAAGACAGTAGAAAGTTGCAATGGTTATGTTCCTTCATTCTTTGGATACGTTTTACAAAGAGACTCAAATACCTCTATTGTTTTGTTTTGATTATATTGTATCCTCGGTAAAAAATATGCTAGAGACTACAGAACTACTACTAGTAGAAAGAGATTGAGAAATATTTTTAATATCCTGTAATAATTTTTCTAGTACAAAAAGAAGTGATAGGCTGTTCACAAATCCCAATAAGCTTTAACATTTACCTTTAAAAAAGTTAGCTGCAAATCCTGCTTTGTTAACAGTTCCATCAGAAACAAACTTCATCCACAGGGTATTAGAGGTAGATCTAATGTCTTCTGGTTTGTCATAGCCACAAAAGTGACCAATTAAAGGACTGTTTTCATTTGTTCCATCTCGAATTTCCAAGTAGTCATATGCACAGTTGTCATGTCTTTCAATCTGTAAAACATAATTATCAAAGTGACCCATCTGAACCATAAATATCAAATATCAGTCAGATAATAAACAGAACTGGAATTTTTCAAAGTTAAAGTTAGTATCTCTGTTTAGGGTTCAAACATCAGGAAGATAAACAAGTATCACAAACTTCTTTTAACTCTACTTGTTTTCTACAAGAAAAATTATTGAAATTTTACAAAGGACACAGAAGTCTAACTGGAAAAAAGTAACTAAAAAAGACACTCTCACGTCTAAGTTTCCTAATGTTCTGTCAAATTTCTACTCTGAGCCCAAGTCCTCTTTTCTCATGTACACTCAACAAGATTAATGGTTCAACAACTAAACAGGTCATAAATATCCACTGTTTTTGCAATATTAAAAATCTTAATTTTTATTAATATGATAAGATTTTTAGACTCTTTCTTCATCCTCCATACAGTTAAAAATTTTGCATTTGTCACTGTTCACTGATGTTGCAGGGAAAATGTAAGAAATTGCTGTGCCTAAAGAGTTGGAGGCATCTGTAGGATTAGATTCAAACACACTTGTAAAATTATCAACTCTTAAATAGTCAACAGAACAGAGGACAAAAAAAAAGAAAGTCATAATTTTTCTGCAGCTGATGTGTCTGGTTTCCATTGCAGGATTCCTGATTTCAGGTGTCATCTTTTGACTTTCTGGGTCAATGAGTGAATCTTTTCTGTACTGATGGAGAAACCTACTGAAAACAGAACACTTGAAAATTTCCCTTCTCACTTAAACTTTCTGCTGGATGACATCCAAACACAGACTAATATGTGAGTGGGCATATGTGCATTCTACTTGAGTAACAAACCTTGTGCTCTTTATACATAATAGTATTTGCAGAGTCAGTCAGAATGGGAATTGCACCAGCGAGGAAAGCAGTAGCAGCCCAAATACGACCCTACATGGAGCCCAGATAATTTATGATGCTTATCTTTACTGAGAGAGTATCTTTCCCAACAGAATTAAAAACCCTCATGAGCTGGGTTGTTTTACTGACAGAATACCTTATGTCATTCATGCAATATAGCATCTTAGTTATAAAAGAATTAACTAGATCCAAGCATTCGAAAATAATTCCTCTAAGAATACTATTGTTCAACTAACTAGCTGAATCATGAGGCAAGTTTAGGAATGGAGGGGGATGGGCAGGGCAGCAGGATCACAGTCAGGTAAAAAGGGGTTGGAGAAGCCTCGAATTTCATTCAGAATATCCAAATTCTGTTAAAACAATAACGAATTCAAAACCAAACCCATAAAAATCCACATTTTATCTCCAGAGTTTTTCTTGCACCTAAGCCGCACAGTTAGCGCAAGTGTTTGCTGCTAGTCTGCTCTTATTGTGCATTATGACCAACACTAAGCTCAGTAAGCACCACAGACTAAGGAGCTTTCACTTAGCATGCTAGGATTTCTGCTTTTCTTATGTAGAAGGGAAAATTGAGGGAAGGCACTGTATGATTTCATTGGAATTTAATGGCACTTATACTTAACATTTCTTTTTCCAACGTTCCAATTCTTTAACCATTTATATGCATAATTTTCTCCCAGTCACTTCTCTGGCACAAACCATATTACCATTTATTGTAATTTCATAGATGTTTCCTCAGGAATTGCCCTGGGCTAGAGCATGAGTGAGAGTGAGAAAAGTCATGAAGATTTGTGGTGCAACTACCTATTGCTTATTTGAGTGGTAATTGTATGTTTACAACTAACGCACTCAGGAATGTATCTACCTGAGTAAGTTTTTGATAATACTGGTAAGTTTTTGATAATACCAATTCCAAATTTTCATTAATCTAAATAATAAAGATTAAACACATTATATCATATTCCAATTTGAAACAAAGTCTCCTTGTTATCACTGTAAAAATCATACCGCACTCTGATGTAGAAAGAGGTGAACGGGTCCAAAGACCACTAATATCAGTGAAGGAATTGTGCATTTTCCCCACAGCTCCATGATCATTTCACTACTCAAGGTTTTAAATAAACATCAGTTTTTATTATGTTTCCATGTTTTATGGGCAATATGGAAATTATTATTATTCGCCGGCCCAGTATGGCTCTGAGTTGCATGGGTCAAATTCCCATTGAGGTGAATTAGTAGTTTATTTTCAGAGGATCACTTTATTTTGGGCAGAAGACAACAGCTAAAAATATATTTTGCATAGCAGTAAGTTTCTAAACTTCCTAAGACTATAAAAATCAACCAACATACAAAGTACTATTGATTTTCAAAAAGAAAAAAAAAAGGTGGCCATTCTAACATATTTATTTAATTTTAGTATATTACTAGTGCAAATAATGCCATTATTATTATCAACATTATTATATTAAGGGATTGAAGTGTTACACCTATATATAACACAAGTTACATATAGTATTGCGGTTTTGAGAAACTATAACTGGTGTTAAGGCACTTGGTAACCAAGTATAAAACATGCTTTTCTTATCTATACCTCAGGTTTTAAGATGTCGTGGTACTGTCATCTGGGAACACTGCTATACAAAGATCTATTATACTTGCAACAGTCTCTTATTCCTCCTACTTCCTCCTATACTTTCTATCCTTCCTATTCTCTCTCTTATTCTTCCCACTTCCTATTTGTTCCTTGAGGAATATCTCCTCTAGTTAATGAAGAGACTCCCAGGGAGGTTGTAAATGCATTGATCCCATAAACCTTACCTACTGGAACATTAAAATTTCACAAGACTGATATTACACGTGAATGAGAAGAAATATGTGAAATGTTAGCAAATTCAGAAAAAAACATAAATAAGAATGGTTTACAGAAAAATGCATTTCCTATAGGAAAATGAAAGATACCATTGGCTCCTGAAGGCCTTGGAGGAAACCTTAAATTTGAATGGCATTAGAGAACTAAGTTGAGAAAATGACTGAAAAACTCCTAAGACAGGCACAAAAGTGCAGGAAAACAGTAAGAAATCTCCTGGAGAAACCGCAAGCCAGAGAGATTCTCAATATTCATTGTCAAAAGAAAAGAAAACTCCTTGTGTGTAGTTCAAGGTTTAAAAAAAAAAAAAAAAATCCAACCCACAACAAACCAAATGACTTTAGACTAAAATATTTAGTTCAAAATTCCAGAGCACCTTTGTTTGTAGCACTCCTCCAACAGAAAGAAAAAAAAGTAAAAAATTTAAATTAAAAAAAGAATTAAAAACTTTCAAAAACAAAAAAAAAAAAAAAAAAAAA